CGGTGTGCTATCAACATTATTCTCATCCTAAATCCAATCCAAAACACTACACCAGCTACTAGGAAGAAAATTAACTCTATCCCAGCCGAAACCAGGACAATCTGAAAGATGGAAAGACCATGTTCAGGTGAAATTTGGGTGGCATGCATCACTGAAAAGAAGGAAACAGTACAGGGATGACAAATGAAATCTGTGAAAAGAAGAGGAGAAATTAGGTTAGACAGATCACAGAGGGAGACATAGTCCCAAGGGGCACACAAATTGGGACCGAGAATGTGTGAGGAACATGTATTTGGCCTCCTTGCATGCAGGCAGGTACAGCATTTACTGGATCTGGTGTCTGAAGCTCAGGATGCAGTAAAAAAGGACAGGACAGAGGGCATTTTTTGCAAGTGTCAAGGGTTGTTGCTAAATGTGATCTGTTCTGAGGACAGTGGCACAATAGTACTTGATTTGATATTTTTAAGAATGCTTTTAAATGACTTGGAAATGCAGAGAGACCAGGTAATCTTCTAGGTTGCTTTGGAGCCAATTGTAAATTAAGAAAAACTCAGCCTGGAGCGCGTGCCAGTCATAAAAAATATCCAAAAGATAGGAAGCAGAGAAGAGGTGTAAAGCAGAGTTTTATTTGACATCTTAACTAATGATCTGGAAGAAAGAACAGTAGGTTAATTAAATTCATAGATTGGATTATATTACCAGTGACAAGGTGGACAGCAAAATAATGTAATAGGACCTACAGAGACTCAAAATTCCTGAACAGAAAATGACAAAATTCAGCTACGTTGGTAGTCTAAAACAGATGCTGAATGAGAAAGTGTGCTGGAAAAGCAGAAAACCGTGTGACAATTCAAAGCATATAAGGTTATAAAACCTCAAAATATAATGAGAAAACAAGAACACCTTCTGCCCTACCTTGTGTTAATTTTGGGTTACATGTTGTTTATGCATTGTAAATTGTAACTTCAGAACCTAACCTAATACTCCCAAGGGTGACTGAGTAAAGGCCATTCAAAAGTGAACAAAGCAAAGCATCATCTTTCTGAAGTCAGAAAGAATTTGTTTATGACTTAAGAAAAGTAATAATATCCTTTCTGTATGTATATATTTGTGTTAACATTATAAATGTAATACAAATTAGATGTCCTGAGCCTAGTGACATACATTTTTTAAAGTTTTTTGTCAGGTAGTAATTAAAGTACCTAGGTAAACAAAAGATCCTTCTAAAGGAACACTTTCTTTCTTTCCTGCTAAGATAACCTGATTTAGAATGTGGTTAAAGTAAGGGGTGGAAGTGCTCCACGTCAAAAGAAAACAAAGGAGCAGCTCTGCTCCAACATCTGTGCTGTACTGCCAGCTGCATTTTCTGTCTAGCTGTAAGAGGCATCCTTCTGGCTAATACAAGTTGCACTGACTGTAGGTTCTGAGTTTACAATTTTTACGATGATTCTACTGACTGTTCTATATGATTTACTGTGTATACTGTGTGCCACTCCATCGACACAGGAGTAAGTGTACAAATAATTATTTGATTGTTCAAGCGTATAATTTCCTCGACAGCACCTAGAAAGAAGTCCACAGTTAAAAGGCCTTTTCAAAATTCATTTCCATGTAAATTTTATTTTGGAAAAAAAAAAATCCTTATATAAATACTATTCTCTTGAGATCACATTGTCTGAAGAACTGTGGTCATAAATAAAGGATCATGTGCTATAAGAAGAAAATTCCACTTATTTTTATGTCAAAGAAAACCCAAGAGCTCATATTGAAAAATACTGGGTTTTAGTTGTAAGGGTTTCAGATTACATGTTTCATCATAAATGAATGAATAAATAAATAAATAAGAATTGGGGAGAAAAGAAAAGGATAAGGTGAATGAATATAAATAAATAAGAATTGGGGAGAAAAGAAAAGGATAAGGTGATGGTAGATTATATGTACATACTGCGATCTACTCCACACTGAGAGACTCAAACAGCCTGCGAGGCATATGAAGATGATTCATATTAATGGACTATTTTATTAAGGTGCAGTATGGTTGAAGGCCACAAAATAGCAGAATTCTGTCAGATACACACTAGTTTATTAAATAAGAATTGGGGAGAAAAGAAAAGGATAAGGTGATGGTAGATTATATGTACATACTGCGATCTACTCCACACTGAGAGACTCAAACAGCCTGCGAGGCATATGAAGATGATTCATATTAATGGACTATTTTATTAAGGTGCAGTATGGTTGAAGGCCACAAAATAGCAGAATTCTGTCAGATACACACTAGTTTATTGAAGTCTGATAATGCTGGATGGCACAGGATTTTTAGCCAGGTTACATTTTATTTGACTGCAGTCATATTAGTGTCCGTACTAGGATGTGTTGTGCATGTTTTCACATACGTTGTTTTGCCAGAGAACATATTATGTTCTGTTTAACAGATATTGCCTTACTGATTTTTTTTTTTAACTACTTCTAGGTATGTTGTAATGGGATTCTGCACGACAATAAACCTGGCTTCCAATGCTGCGAGGACAAGTACATTCCATTTATTCTTAATTCACCAGGGGTTTGCTGTGGTGGTCAGATACATGCTGTGCAACCGAAACATCGGTGCTGTGGTGGTTATTACACTAGGGTATTAGTAGGTAAGAGACAACTCCTTTCCAGTGCTCGAAAGAAACAAAACAACAAAGTTGATACATCTGCTAAACCAAGGAGAATGAAAACATAGCAATAAATGTGGGATTTATCAAGATTTCTAGATGCCTTCAAGACTTGTGTTCAGTGGGATAAGCAAAGAAAATTGCACTGACTTTGTCTTTTAAACACAGTACACTGTTTATACAAGAAAGGCTTAATTGATGAAACCTGATGATTGGGTCATTTCCCAGAGAACTAATTTATGCCAAACTATACTTAATTGCAGTAAGTGCTGCATAATGGGGAGGGCAGTTCTGCTTAATAGGAACACCATCAGGCAATTTAGTGGTGCGGTTTAGTTCTCTGCTTGACTTGACCCCACGTGATTTTCCCTAGCCATTTCTTTTGTGGAACAATTGTTATCATTTGGGGTTGAAACTACGGATTACGTCACTTCTACATGTTTCTGCATTGTCTACTCTTTGTTTCCACCAATGTTACAGATCAAAGTACACATCCCACATGTATTATCTTTGATGGAAATTTATCCTTTTCTTAAGGCTGATGGTACTCTTATTCTCAGAACTGTTTAGGAAGTTTGCCAAAACTGTGCTTCTGTGCTATTGTCCAGAGTTTGGTTTTCCAGTTTGTTGGTGGGCTTTTGACAGGGAGAGGGGAGGAAAAGGAGGAGGAGAGCCCTTTCAGGGGGCAGTGTTCAGAGCATATATCTCTTTGTAGGCAATTGTCAGGTCAGGAGCTAAAATGCTTCCATTACTCGTGAGCTGGCACACATTCCCTAGGCTCAGAAATGCTTGAATTTTTGCCAACACGTTCAGCACATCCCAAGTTCTGATACTTTGAAAAGTAATTCATATATCACAATATTAGAATGCCTTCCATGATGTCATCAGAAAAATGCTATCACATGGAAGAACCAGAGAAGAGTATTTTGCTGGCCTTATTAATCTCAGTGTACTGAAACGGAGAGATTATACTGTGACCTCTGTCCCCATCCAGTGGTCTGTGTTAACTAGCTTAATGTTGTTTACATCAAGAAAGAAAAGCACAGTGAAACAAAATGTCTTATGTCTGAAAGTAGTTCTTGTTCAGTCAGCAGTCCACAAGCATGAAACAGTGAATGTTTGAACATGATTTTAAACATTTTTTTTTCTAAGTAAATTTGCTGCATCCTCTTTTTCCGTACTCTAAAGGGCAGCAACATGAACAATGTTGGTCACTTTTTTCTTTTTTATTTTTATAAATATGCTAATAACCTCAAGCTAAATGTTAATGTGGGTCATTCTTTGATAAGGATAACAATTAACTGGTAAGACTGCATGGCAGTTTTCAGAGAAAGAACATTTTCAAGCCTAGCTTGGAATGGATCCCATTTTGAGAGGTTAATGAGAAGGTTACTGATCCTTTGTGTCTTATGTCTAATAGTTCTTTAAAAAAAACAGTTTTATTTCCAATAGATGTAAGCTACATTCTGTGTTTTAATACTTTCTCTGTGTAGCAACGAAATTAGATTCCGAGGAATGCAGGAAAATATGATGAAGTATCTAAACAGATTATATCTATTATACTCTAAAAATTTGTTCTCATCTTTTTTTGTTTATTATTGACTTTATTTGATAAAGTTATTTATACAGGAAACTCTCTAAGCATACATATTTCCCAGATGTTGTTTGGCCAGCTTGATAGCTCTAGATGTACTGATGCACACTGGGCTGAAGGCATGAAGATTACAAATTAGGAAGGCAGGAATCTCAGTTTCTGAAACAGTAGTGCACAAAGAAGTGCAAACATCCATCCCAGAACTAAGATGGGAGGAGAGCTTAAAGCAGAGCAGAACAAATAATGCTACCACTGCCCAGGCACCTCTTTGGCAAGAAATGTGGGGGGGAAGGAAAACAGCGTTCTCCCTCATCTGTTACAATCGCATCATATGATTATTTATGACAAAAGCTGCATTGGGTTTAAGGCGCTCTGTCTGTAATTCCCAACCTTTCAGAAGAAAATGACTTGAGGTATTACTTTCAATGAGAAAAATGAGTTTTAAAAATCAAAACACATTAATTAACAATCAAGAATCCAAATGCTTTAATCACCTCTATTACCTGTCTTCAATAGCAGAACAAAAACTCTACTCCTTCCAAATGACATTTGAGCCACAGAAAACATTGCAACACAGAAAGATAATACAAAAATGTAACTTTTAGAACACTGGATGAGATCAAGTGCAGACACTAGTGAATGAAAATTATCGCCATTTACCATAATTTTTGTATCCTTTATGGCAGTATCTACTCCATTTATAGCACACAGTTTATGCCAGCCCAGCCCAGCCCACCATTATAGTGTCAGTCTCATTGGCAGTCTTATCCTAAGGCCTTTTCCTGCAAAAGCTGATGCTTTTGCTTAAGTAGCAGCCAAGCCCACTGATTGTGACGGTGGTATTTAATTTTTAAAGTGAGTTTAATCCTTAAGTTCTTTGGGAGATGAAGTTCTGAGCGACACTGAAAAACTCTTTAAGCAATGTGAATTAGTCCTTCAAAATAAGTTTGGAATGATTTTGGAGGAGACAAGGAAATTTTTTGCTGAGAATAAGTAGGCTGACTGTTCTGTTAATCATAGCAAGAACAAACTCTCTTTACTGTGTAGCTGCCTCTACCTAAAGGTTTTCAGCTGTATAACTATCATATTTACAGAAATTATTTTTGTTGCTCTTCTCAGTTTGTCTTTGTCATGCTTGCATTTTCATATCTTACAGAGTCTTGGCCCTGAATTAATGAATGCATGTTTCTTTAATTATTATTACAAATGAATATAATACTTTTATAGCATTCTAAAGTACCGAGTGATTCCATGCTTTCACATGGAACATTTTGTACATGAAGCTACTAGTGTGTGAATCCAGACTTGTTGCTAACAGATGAAAGCCTCTCAGAGATTTCAAGAGCTATAAATGCATAAAATCTTTAATTGTATTCTTAAATTGACAGGAGAAGTATGTTGCCCTAACGAAGGGCAAAACAGAGTTTCAGTTGGAATTGGTGACTCCTGCTGCCGGGGAATGCCTTACTCCACATCAGGCAATCAAATCTGCTGTGGTGGATCCCTCCATGACAGTTTCAATCAGCAGTGCTGTGGTGGAGAAGTCATAAGCACAGACTTGGTCTGTTGTGGTGATGAAGAAGAAGGGACTGCACACAGACCTCTCACAGGTAAGTGATAAGTTTTCAAGAAAAAAGGGTCTTCATCTTTCTACATCTCTTGTGACACTAACCATTCGGCAGTGACACACTCAGATTTAAGGTGTGTACGCCAATTTGTTAAAATGATGTTGCACTTTACTCACCTATTCTGGTAGATTGCAAAATGGTGAGCTTTCAATAACCCTTCCTTGCCTTTGTCCAAAAGCTGTGGGGGCTGGAGACACCAGAAATTCAAAAGGAGTGCATGATCTTTCATTATGCCAGTCAGAAAATAGGACCAGTCCCCTCTCAATGAGTAGAGCAGAGGTTAGACTTGGCCACCTTGTGCTGCCATCCATCCCAGTGCAGGGATTTTCCATTTGCTCTGGAGGTGTGGGGTTAGTCACTTAGAAATTGAAGATTACGACGCTATCTACTTGGTGGTCTATGTCCCTCACTTGTGCATATACATAGGAGTAAACCCGCTGGTTTCAAATTAACAAAACTTAATCCCTAGCACTAGTCACCTGTTTATCTGTGGTATCCCATCAATGTCTTGCACACCATCGGAAATTACTCCATCACTCAGAGGTACAACCTGAACCCTACTTCCTCGTAAAGCACCCTGTGACTGGGTGGTGACAGAGATGGAGGTATTATTACAAATGCTATTCAGGTATTTTCATGTGTCTTTTCTTTCCACAGTTATTAGACAAATTATATACCACCAGCCTTAGGCTTTCTCAGCCTGACAAAAAGACTTAAGAAACAATTGCAGTCTCAAAGGGGAGCCCGATTTCAGAACACAGAAATAATGAGGTTTAGTACCCAATTCTGCTTGGTGTACAAAGATGAGTGATGTAGTGCTTTCACCATGTGCGTGCCAGTTTGACCCTCTAGTTGTACAACTAAGGATCTCAATATATAACTACGAATCCAGACCTGAAGGCTGAACTCCTCCTTTCTCAAAAAATGAGCTCTATCTTCAGCTTATTTTTTTTATTCACTGGATCCTTCAGCCGCTGTGGTATTAGAAGTACCCTAGTTCTGTGTTGACTGTCAGGAAGGGCTAATCAGAAGGGCCATTGCAACACTTTCTGCGGTTTCTATACTATCCTTCCCTTCCAGTGGTGACTCGTGGAGGGTATGCTGTGAACAGCACCGCTTGCATGATTTTAGCTCCCCCTCACTGTGATCCCTAATTGTGCCTGATCTAGAGCGTTTATGCAGGGCTTACAATATCAGCTCTGAACAAGGCCCTCTTGCATAGCCGCGCATTGTGTGGCTGCCACAAGACGGGGCTGGCTCATAAAACATCTCTTTATGTACTTTATTACTTAAACTCTTTTATTTGCCTGCAGGAGCCCTTTAACAAAATCACATTGAATTGACTTTCTCACACCAAATCAAATCTCCCTGGTCCCAGTTCAGTTGTCTTTGTCAATATGTATTTTATAAATGGAGTGAATTAACAGATGCTGTTGGAACAGAACTGCTGGGGTAGCGTTTATGTTTTTACTGCTCTCTCTGGGCAGATGAGTTGTGTAGGAGTGTAATACAGGTATCTTGGGATGAAAGTTATGTTCTTCATTTCAGTATATATGTGTTCTTAACAGTTTTTTTCCTTAAATATATATATTTAAAAAATCTTTATACCCCTCTTTTTAAAATGTGGTTAGCCTATAGCACTCTATCATTTACACCATTTTTCTTGAGAATGGGTCAGGATGACATTTTTTTGGCTATTAAAAAAGAAAACAGTGGCTTTTTCATCATTCACAGGTTTTCTGTGAGGACTTTATGCTGTGAGCCAGCATACAGCTGAACACAAATACAGGTTTGAAAGATGAATTAGCGCCATAGTTGAAAAGAGATCGTATTCTTTTGCATTAAGCATAGAATAGATTGTGGTTTCTTATCATATCGGATACATCATGCTCAATAGGTTTTTGCTTAATTTCTTAGAGTAATTCAGCCTTGCTAAATACATCATGAAAATGCACAAGCCAGGCACAAAAATCTACCTGCTCCCTATCCCTATTATTATAATGATTCTAATGGAAAAAATACTCTCACATATAAACATAATTTACTTATCATTGGCACATGGATAAGTAGAATTTTGCAAGAATATGGTAATTGGAAAGCTGATCTCATTGTCTAGAAGGGGAAAAGGTAACGGGTGGCTTTATGCAAAAGCTGAAATGCTGTTGAAGCTCTGTTTTATAGTTGGCAATGAATGCCATGGTTAAAAATATAATGACAATTTAAAGCTTTTGTTTGGGAGTTTTAGTTCCTTGAAAAAAATCGTACGAGAAAAACATGATCAATAAAAGTGCAAGCCTTGTGCACAGCCTTATTGTTTCACAACCAGTTTGAAAGCAGCGTGTTTCTGCAGAATCTAGATCCAGGTTTGCACTGAATGTTGGTTTAAGGGCTTGAATGGTACAACTTTTTCATTTGCCATTGTATACCTTTTTCAGAGAGTCTCTCCTGCAAAAAGAGATGTTTTTTCCATCTCACATTACTCTTTTTTTTTTAAATTTCTCTTTTCTTAGGTTTTATTTTTCGCCCCTTGTTGGCCTTATTTAGTGGGGTGACCATAGAGACATCTACTGGCAAAGGCTGGCAGTGGTGCCATTGTATACAGACATCCTGAGCCCCACTGCTGCAATGTGATTATCCAAAGTTGTCTATTTCTGGCTATAAAGGATAACGTCAGCTAAAACCACTCTTGGATTTTCTCTTTAAAAATAAAATTTTTAAAAAAAGCTAGTAAAATGCCACTATACTGACATCCCAGACTCATGAAAGATGATGCTTTGTACTGTTGTGGTTCCTGATCTGTAAGAGTTGCGATACCCACATGTAAGCCAAGGATTTTTGGAGTAGTTTGCAATGTACACTGGCTCTGTATTTTGTTGATCCTCTATTCTGGCTCCAAAGGCTAAGCCTTTTAATACTCATTTTTTCCTTTTGAAAGCATTGGTTTTGCAGATTTACTAAATTAGTAATTCATCACTCAGCTGTGTTTGTAAATTTTTTCAGTTGCTGGGGATGAACATGAAATAATTGTTGACAGAAATCACTGTTAGCAGGAAGTGTCTTTTCCAGCCCATGGATTTTCTTTTTGCTGTAATGCATTATGTGCCTATGAAACATAAATATATAAAGCGTGACACACACATTCCAACTGATTTACAAACAAATAGTTTGTATGTTGGTATTTTGCTGAATTCAGCAAGGGTTTATAGGAATTTCTGGATCCTTAAGCAACTGAATAAAGTGATTTTTAGAAGGCAGATCAATCCATCAATATTACGTGGTCCTATTTTGTTTTTCTTGCAGCATATTTAAAGTTGTACATTTGAGGTGTCAAGGTTCAGGAGTCAAGTGCTACATGTGATAAATTAAGCAAAGGTCAGAGGCTACGCAATGCAGTTTCAGAAGATTGTCTACCTCTGCCTTTGCAGCTCATTCATGCTGAAGTGATGCACTATGGGAATTACTACCAAACTCTGCTCTGCAACATCTGCTCTCCCTAAGTGAGTTAGTGCACGTCAGACATCTTTATGTCAGAATATTGCAGTGATGGATGCAGTCTTCAGAAAATGCTGCATAAAAATCTGGTGTGCCGTTCTGGCCATTAAGTGAAATTACTATTTAAATTAATGGCGCTGTCACAGTTTATCTGTGCAAAGAATGAACGCTGATTAGGGTATTAAGTAATTAGCAATTTATCACACTGGAACAAGGTTGATAATAATTAAAGAAGTAATGGTTTACCAAAGAAACTAGAAAGGGAGTCACTTCTTGTTATGCGAGTGAAATCTTGGCTGAAAAATTTAATTCAGTTAAACAAAGATGAGGTTCTCAGTGAAAGAATACAGCCTTGTTTGTTTCAATAGAAAAACAGTTCATTATCAAAATTTTAGTTTGCCTGTCAAAAGTCCCTTGGGGCTGTCTGAGTTGCTTATTAGTATTGAATTGAGTCATTTTCTGCATTAATTCGCTACTTAAAATTGGTAGAATCCGAGGACGATTTGGAAAAAGGGTGTGAACAGGGGGAAATATTTACCCCTTGGAGAGCTGGTGATCACAGTTTGATTTCTGTGAATGGAACCAGCCCTGAAAATAGGTAAAGTATGCAAGTAACATCACCATTTTGAGTCATTCCAGTGATTGTAATGAAATGCTCTGAATGCTTTAGCAGGATCATACCCTTAAAGAGTAATTTTTATTATGTATGACTTCCTAAGAGAGATTTGCTGCAATAAATGGCAGTGAGAAAAGTGGCTGCTTTTGCATGTGTTTTAAATGTCTACATACTACAGAAATTATGTCAAATACAAATTATTTTGTAGATGTAACAGTATATCACAGCCCTGGGGTTTTTTGTGATCTCTTTCTAGTTGAATTAGTTATAACATTTATTTCATTGCCAATTATAGAGGTGTTTGTAGCATTTTGCTCAGAGTTAAAATTTACCCCTTTCTTTAAAGGGTGTGGGGTTCAACGCTGGTATTTCACAGTTGCAGAATCATTCATGTGAATATTTGGAAAATTACAGTGGTTATGACGAGCTTTTAATTTTAAAATAAAATCATTAAAAATAGAAGAAAGACTGTGGAATTAATTTTGGCAGCTTATCAATTCCACTACAGAAATGCAAGTTATATTTAGATATTAACTTCTTAAAGAGTAATTGTCTGTATCAGATGACTGAAACTTCACTGTGGGTATTTGGCAAGTCACCCATTCAGCTCTATGTACCTAGTATGAACCTTCACTTTAAAACATAAAATATGACGTGAAACATTCTGGTATGCTAAGATGCACTGTTGGAAGACTGCCCATGTAAGGGGCGGGGGGATGAATGATACCTGACTGGAAAGTACATGGAGAAGCTTTCTCAATTTCTACATTCTACAGGAAATTTTCATTAACAGCCTGTCTTTGACCTGCTGCACACAGTACTTCGGTATGGTATTTCATAGCAAAGGTTCTTACAAAAGTTCAGCAATGGTGTAAGTTGATTGTAGGGGATCCCTGTTTATTCCTCTAATTTTTGATTGTTTTCAGCAGGTGTAGAAGTCAGGACGCTTACTTCAGTCACCTCACGTTTGAATTTAATCTCACTTTAGCTAAATCTGGGTAATTCCAGCTGCTGATGGGTTTATGCCAAGCTACATCACATTCTGAGCTTTCTCCTTTCTTTATCTATTTATTTGCTTACTTACATTTCATATTCAGATATATATTTTTTTGTTTGTTCATTTCAGGGATGTTTTGTTGTGGGCAGGAATACGTGAGTATGTCAGATACCATATGCTGCTCAGGTTCCAGTGGTGAGTTCCTAGCACATGTTAGAAAGAATGACCAAGTGCCAGTAAAATGCTGTGAGACTGAACTTATTCCAAAGAGCGAAGAATGCTGTAATGGAGTTGGATATAATCCTTTGAAATATGTTTGCTCTGACAAGATTTCAGCTGGAATGATGATGAAGGTAATTGATAGAAAATCTCTCGGTAGCTCTGATTTGATGATGGAAGGAGAAATACACTGTTCATAACTATTTTTCTAAAATAGGAATATAAAAACTCTTGTGTGCATTATTCATTTTCACATTACATCCATATTAATACCGAATGAGTTCACCATGATTGATGTTATTGCAATGAATTCTAAAGGAATTAATAATGATTAGCTGCCTCTGTGAAGTGTTGCCCAGCACTTCAGATTAGTACAGTGGCTAAAAGCTGGCATACTAACAAGACTGGCATGTATAGCCAGCTTCCGTTCTGTGACCACAGTTCCTGATGATGTTCCTTAAGTGGAAATTGAAATTGAAGTGGCCAGTTCTGAAGTATAAAAATGCTATTACATTTCAATTTGGGCAGGCAGTATGACATAGATTCCCCAACCTCCTAAAAAAAAACAACAAAAAAACCCCAATTGATATTTTCTTGATGGACTTAATCCTGATCCTATAGAAAACCAATGGCAATTTTGGCATAAGTTTCAGCAGTACTAGGGTAGGTCCCTGTATAACTTTTAGCAACAATGAGGGTATTATATTTTTTGTGCCTTTCGCGCCTAATGAATTATACAGTTTATTTCCACTCTGTTCTAATGTAAGAGCAAACTAAGCACCATAAAGGCTAATTCCATCTTTTCTAAGAGTGGCCAGTGACTATAGGTATCAGCATGAGACAATTTGGCCAAACTTTCAAAGCTGCAGTCTTGCAACTCTAGTTGAATTCAATAGAAATCTTAAGAATTAGCATCTTGCTGTTGTACGTAAGCTGTAAAAATATTGTCAAATGTTATTACAATTTTTGTTTAAGAAAATGAACATTTCAAAGGATGGAAATGCTGTATATATATTCTTTTATATAAATATATATATATGTTTATATAATTTATAATATTTATGAATATATTTATTATGGAAATCAGGTAGATATTGTGGAATTTATCGCTAAAGTAAAAAGAAAAACAGACCCCATCCTGCCACATACGCATGTTCCTGTATCCTTTTCATTCATCTGCTAAGTTAATACACAAATATTTCTTCCATCTTCTCCTTCTCATGTCAAGGTTTTCATGTCATTTCATTTTCAGACTGAATAATTTTCTCCTAGAGAAAATCCAAGTGTTGTGATGAGTCAGCTAGAGTTCCTCAATGCATTGTATTAGTAGTTCATCCAAGGCAAAAAATGGCTGAGAATAGGTTAATGAATTCTGGTAGATAACATGCTAGATCCATGCCTTAGGTACAATGTATAAACAAAGGAAGCGCTTTGTATTTCACTTACCCGCAGTAGAAAAGAGATAGCAGCACTGGCTTTCTGATATGTACAGATTTACTAATATTAAAAGGACTGATATTCTGAGACATATTCTGGAGCTACTTTATATGTGAATCCAATCCATCTATATCCTACATCTTATATTGATATCTATCACAATGTAATTTTTATGAAAGTGCTAGGTTAGGAAATTAAATTAGCTGAAGTTCATAATCAGCTAACAAACTAATTTCAATAGGTGAATTAAGGAAGAATTAGATATAATCTGTTTGGTTTTCCTTCTAAAGTTTGTAGCCTAATGGGCAGAAATATTTGTAGCAAATATTGCAGTACATTTCTTCCTGCAACAACCTATATTTTATGAGAATTATTGCTGTCTAGCTTATGGTTTGGCAAAAATATTATTTCATGAATTTTAATGGAAACTTGTGGAAGTTCAGTTTATATTTCTATTTCTGTGAATTGTTCTTTATGGGTTAAATCTTATATCTCCATCAACGTTTTCAGAGGTCCTCTTATTGCAGCAAAACTGCTGTTTAGGAGTGATGTGGTAGAGCACACGATTTACATCGCCCATGGATAGAGTTCTCAGCCTTGACAGCTGCCAAGGAATTACAGAGAGCCCTCTTGTGTACTTGGCAAGCTGTGTGAGGGGCTGGGAATTTGCTATTGATTTGCCATGGGATATTGGCCTTTGCAGGGGCAGAATGTTCAAATTCTCAGATTAAATCCTGTTCTCACTTGATTATAGACTCTTCTATTTTCGACAAACCCAGCCATTTGGGCTTCCAGTGGTTAACATTTGTGATGCTTTCATGCAAGGACCCTACAAAAAAATGTTTCTTTTAGAAAGGATTATAAAAGCATTAATGACCAAAGACAGTAGACAGGCCAAAGGCTGAACGGGTCTGCCATATGCTAGAAATATCAACGTACTCGATGCGGTTACTTGATTTGTATGTTACATAAAGACTGAGAAATACTAATGGCAGCATTTGTAAAGAAAGGAAGATGTGGTAAATACATTAAAATTGAACATGTATTCCTTAGGTAAAAGAAGAATGCAAGGCTAATATCCTTTGCCCTTTATCTATGGAGGCAACAGCACATTGTGGAAAGTGTGACTTTGATCCTAGGGAGAATATCTGTGCGTGGATAAAAGGTTCACAGGGTGCTGCGGAAAAGGAGATAAAGGAAGGTGTGTGTCCAGCTGAAGAGGAGACTGTCTACACAGGAAGTCCAAACCAGTATTCATTTACAGGTAAGGAAAAGTGGCATATCAGATTGGTGATTTGCTAGTGTATGTAATTCACTCCGGAGAAAAAGAAAGTCCTGAATGCTATCAAGTGTTCTAATTAAATGTGAAGCAATTGTAGTGACGTAGCATTCTTTAAGAATTAATCTGTGAATCAGGACAGTATCTTCAGGGAAATGAAATGAGTAGCAAGAAGTTCAGTGAATACATAAGGTCTAAACCTGCTTTCACAAAAGTTGGTAGAAGTATTGCTATATGAGAAAATGGCCCTGACTAAAGGAACAACTTCCATATCTATCTGTCTTTAAACACAGAAGTAGTCCCATAGGCACAGAAAAAAATAAACAAAAGTTATTTTGTATTTTTAAAAGACCAAGATGATCCATACGTAACTTTCTTTTTCTAGACCTGAACCTTGAACCTTTTATCACATATGAGTACAGAGTGGCTGCTTGGAATAGCTATGGAAGAGGCTTCAGTGAAATTAGCAGAGCTGTCACTAAGCAAGATGTGCCACAGGGTGTAAGTCCACCAAAATGGGCCAAGGTGGATAATCGGGAAGACATGATACTTCTAAACTGGGAGGAACCACTTCAACCAAATGGTATTGATATATGTTAAAAAAGGAGTGTGTTCTATCATTCAACTGACAGTGTTCCAAAATCACAAAACGTTTCTTAATCACTAGCACTGAAATATATGTATTCCTAAACTCTGCAAGAAGAATTTGCTGTAGGTTGAGATCATTTTCATTGCAAATAAGAGTAGGGTCTAACTTCACAAAAGACAATTTAGTATGTCTCTAATAAGTGCCCAGAAGCCTCTTCTGAGTACGGTTGTAATAATAATTGGCAAATATGATCAGAAAATCACAATCATGTTATAAAATATTGGGGGATTCGGGGGGGTGGGGGGAGGGAAGTGGTTGATACTCATGTTTCTTTCAGGAAATCTTGCTTATGGTTTCCAAACAGTGAGAAAATTTGGAATAGCTCTCCTAATAGAAATACTGAGATGTTGATGTAGAGGTTGAGGAGAGTAGCTGGTAATTGACATTAGCCGTTTCAACAGGATGATTGTCTGTTACAGTGGTCACCTAGAGATTTCATTTAATATTTTCTGCATGCAGAGTAGGTTATTATAGTATACCATCACACAGGATTTCTCAGCTAACAAAAGGGAAAACTTTCTTTCTGCAATAGGTCTTATTATTCACTATATCATTCTTCGAAATGGAATTGAGCGTTTTAGAGGAACAGAAATGAGCTTCACAGACACAACTGGTGTCCAGCCATACCAAGAATATTCATACCAGCTGCGAGCCTGCACTATTGCTGGTTGCGCAGACAGCAGCAAGGTTAGTAAATTGGTCTTTATGGAACTGGTGCCAGAATTTTATCAGCCAGTGTGGTAACATAAAAATGCTTTTGGAAAGGTGTAATTTGAAGACATGATGATTATTGAGTAAGCAAGTGAAAAACATCAATAATCTTATTTGGATTCAACTACTGACAGGTGATTATTTGGAACCTAAGGTTGATACAAGCAAGCGGAAGGGAAGAAGAAAGCAGTATCTCAGTCTTGGCAAAGCTGAAATGGCACTGTAGGAACTGATGTTTGTTAAAGAGAAAGCTGCACATGATAGAATAGAGTAAGGAATATTAAAACACACTTTCTCTAAGCCTTGAAATTAAATCTTTGCTTCCCAGTAGGAGGTCTATAGCCTCTTCTTCCTTGGTATTTCTTAGTTTATCTGCGTTAGCTCTAGTCTATTAATTTGTTCAACAACATTCTTATTTAGAGCCTCCTTCCACTATATTACCCTTCAGTGGCTTTCCATGTCTGCACCTGCTTCAGGCTTTACACTCCTCTTGTGTACAACCTGCCTCTGCTTCAGTTTTAAGCAAACAGAATCTCTTCCCTCCCTTTGTCACAGCTTCATTTCCTCTTGTATCACTTTGAATCACGGATGCCTTTCACCAGCATTACTATTTAACTAGCTCTAGTTTCTATTCTGCAACGTACCAGCCTTATTCATCATTTGGAAAAACTGTTTCTTAAGTGACCTCTTTTTCACAATAATATCCTTGCCTCTATGAAAATGAATTTCTAGGACTGCAAGTGCGGGGTCTGTGGGGCAGAGGTGGGGAATAATGGCTGCGTTTTGTAATTATAACATCTATGGGATTGAAAAGTTGATTTTCTTTTTTCCAGGTGTTTAAATGTTTTCCTTATTGGTGTAAATCTCAGCCAAAAGTGTAAGAAAAGAAACACTGATGCAAAGGGAGGGAGATAGGCACATGGTCCTCTGCCTGCACAAGGAGCTGTGATCTGGAAGCTATGTAGGCACAGTTGCTGCAACCATCGTCCTGAGCTAATAAATCCTGCTTATTTCACTTGTCTGTAATTAAGGAATTTACTGTTGCAAACACTGAAGTCTGCAAGCAGGGACTGATTCCACCAAATGCACTAAGACAATATATAATAGAGGGCACATTTTATATTTACAGCATAATATAAATACTTTATGGTGGTAATAACAGAAAAAGAAAAGTGATTCTCAAAGAGAAAAAGGTCTGACTCACTTATTAAACCAGTGTAATTTGGAGATGCCTCTGTAGGAGATGGTAGAGATGTGTCAATAGAAGATTAGCTTTTTCCTTTTTCTTCTTTTTTTGTAGAAAGAGCTTAACAAGCGCAAAGTTATTCTATCTTTCAAAATCTTTGGTTTCCTTACAAAAATATGGAGTTGCAAATAACTACAATAGAGTTCAGATTGCATGGATATATGGAGGCTTAGCCCCACGTTTACTGGTGCTTAAAATATATGAAATCAGGCAGTTAAAATGCAGAGACACTGACAAACCATATGGAAGAGAGTTATCAAGAGTTTTCAAGCAATACAGTTTTTGTTGTTTCACCCTGTGCTATACACTGCAGCTAAAACGTGGTGAACCTGTTGTGATAAATTGTAGACATAGACTTATGTAATGTATTCAAGGTCAGATTTCATTGTGAAAAAGGAGAAAAAAGTAACTAGTTCTCCAGGCCCTTGGTAATGATATGCCAGGCCAAACAACATTTTAAAACAAAAGTGACATTCTCATTGATCATGGTATCTAGTGTACTATTACATTAAATTGCTGTTTAATTCATATGTCTTCAGGTAGTTGCAGTCACTGTCCAAGGAGTCCCAGAGAGTGTTCAGCCACCAGACGTCAGTGCTTTGAACTCAACAGCGTTACATTTAAGCTGGATTGCACCCAGGAAACCAAATGGTATCATCAGAGAGTACCAGATCAGTCAAGTAGGGAAAGGACTTATATACACTGACGCTGCAAGCAGAATGCAGCACACAGTATCAGGTAAGGAGGCAGAGCTCTCTGACAGGCTAATGTCCTGTCCTTAAGGTATAAGACTATTAACATATTAAAAATGCTACTTGTCAGTAACTTTTAAATCCCTAGTACTGTGCACAGTTTAGAATGCTTTATCATGACTTTACGTATCTTAAATTTATTTTTTTCAATCTCTTTCATTTCTGGCTGCCGTTTGTTAAAATATTAATAGATTTAATTTCAAAATTTTAAAATAAATCTATCCAGCTCGATTCAAGATGCATGCTTGTGGTGTGCTCGGGGTCTCAGATATGCTGTGTAGGCTTACCATCCCTTCACACAGATTCAACTCTCTCTTTTACCATCATTAATGTGCTACTAGTGCTGCTGTGAATGTGTAGCATTGTAGGAGCAAGAAGGATCCAGCATTTTACGCCTGAGATAATGAAAAAAAGAAAGGAAGACAGAAAGGGAAAGATCCTGGATTCTGTTTATAATCCTATATATTGCTTGTAGCCATTTTCTAAATACTTGGTGAAATTTCACTTTGTGTGTGTGTGTGTCTGAAGGAAGATTTAGTCAAGGGATTTTGGTGGAAGATTTGACTCAGACCTCAAATGTATTATTTTCACATATTCAATTTTTAGTTATATTTGAATGTTACACTGAAGCAAAATTATTCTTAGAAATGTTTCTGTTGAACATGAAATGGGAACATAAACATCCTGGGAAATCTTTTTTTCACTCTTTGATCTCAGGTTGGTCATCAAATTCTTGTATCTATGAGTTTTAGGAATTCATAACTACATTATTTTTTCCTTTTTTTTTTCCACCTGAGTAGGAAACTTAGAAGTTCATATATTATACACACCATATGATAGCCACCCAAAGAATAGAAGTTGACTTAGGGCATATAAAACCTATACAGCATACATGGCACTCTCAACTACCCTTCAAAGCATGAGTCCTGAGTCAGAGTGGATCCCTTAGTTCTTTAAAAGAGTTCGTCCTTGCTGTAGTCACTCACAGAGGAGTAAAGGACTGCTGTTCCTCTTTGACAATATCACGCTCCAGTGTGAAATTCATCAACTGTATATTACTCTGTCTCCATATTCAGTGCTTCTGGACATGAGATATTAGAGTATGCCAGTTGGTGGTACATGTTTTAGAATTGCTGTTGTAAGTTTATACTGTAAAGAACACCTACCAACAAGGAATGATTTATCAAACCCATTTGAAAAATACTTCTCGTGCTCCCACTTCCTTCCCAAAAGGCAGTTATACCTCCAGAGTAACCAAGATTTTAATGCAAACAATACTGTTTTTCTTACCAGTTGGAAGGGAGAAGAAATGAAATTACTTTCTGAGAAACAAGGATCTTTTTTCCTTTTGTGTGCCTGTTCCATTAAGCCACTGTCCAATGCTGCCATGTTAAGCCAGCAGTGAAATAAATGATCGCTCCTCCTGACAGTCATAATAAAATCTTGTGCTGTTTTCTGCAGGAGCTTTCTTAGGTAATAATGTGGACTTCATGGCAGTGATATAGCAATGTGGATAATTATTGCACTCTAAATTAAAAGAATAAGATAAAACAATCAAATTTATTTCATACATAATCTCAAATGTTTGAACTGTTGTCTTATTCCCTGTGGATGTATGTTTTGATTTTCTCATCTTCCTTCCCCCCCTCCCCCCAAAAAAAACCTGTCTGCTTTCCCCTGAGCAACGGTTGAACATTAATGAAGCTGTAGCATTAGTATTTCTTGAGACTTTGAATCTAGGGTCTTGCAAATAACAGACAAGAAGGCTAGCACCTTGCCACTGCACCATTGTCTTGCTGCTTATTTTTAATTACATCAAAGCTTTGGAAACATGATCCCACAAATGCTTTGTGGGAATAGCGGTGAATGTGCTCATCATGTGAAATCCATAAATTGCTTATAATCCTCTCAAGATGTTAAAAAAAGCATTAAGTAATTGAAGACAGGAAGTCCTCAGTTAATTATTTAGAGGTGTTATCAATGCTTTAAGCAAACTGAAGCATTTTCTGCTATCTCACTGAGTTGAATGCCACTGGGACCTAGGGGCAGCAGCCATCATCTTCTCATATTCTCTAATGCAAACAGCACATGGCAGCTTGTCAATAAAAGACCTTTTTATATCATTTATTACTGAACACTTCCACTACCCTGTACAGAACAATTTGGATGACAGTTATGGCATTGTTTCACTTTGTGTTACTACTACTTTACAAATGGGCCTGCTAATGCTTTGCAGTGGGGGCCAGGCAGAGGGTAAGACTGAAGAAAATAATTAGGGGAATTGTAAAAGAAAGCTAAGAGTGCCCTCTTCAGCAGCAGCAGGTGGATTTATAGCAAAGATTCTTCTAAACTCCCCCGTTTTTAGTACACTAAAGATAATATCCCGAGTAAGAGGCTTTATCGAGAATTTGTAGGATCAATCATCTTTAGGTAAAAGTCAAGCAAGATCACTGATGTTTATTTTAGTAAAAGAAACAATATTAAGAAATACTTTATGACTGAACGGTTTGAAATTCTTTCATCTGAACATATTCTTCATTTCAGGGTAGTGAAAACTGAAGAGATACAGAAATGTTGTCACTGGTCAACTCTATCTCCATGCAGCACTGAATCATTAGTAATATTCATCTAAAGGAAACTCTTGGGGGTGGAGGGGTTGTGTGAGGCTGCGGTCAGCAGTCTGACATCCTCCTGAGTAAAATTCCCATGGCGGGGCCCAGGAGTGTTAGCCTAGGAGCTAATTACTGACCTTGCTGGAGCCATACCCACAAATGGAGACGAACAGTATCACAAGGAATTGATGCGGCTAATAGAAGAATGCATTCCTAAAAACCCACTGTTTCACAGCCTTTTGGCAAATGGCAAATGCTGCAATAACAAAATAGACTGCTAAGTTAAAAAAAAAGAGAATTAACCCACACACACAATAATAGACCAAAAAAAGAAAAAGGAGGGGAGAAGTATCCTCTAGTGAACAATCAAGTAGAGAAATTGGAAAAGCAAAATGCTGTTTATGTTTCAAGATTATCTTACTTGTTATTTTTATTATTAATCACATACATAGATTTGCACAGAGCTTTCCAAAGCATACATAAGACAAGGCGTTTAATGCAAAGCTTTAATAATCTAGATAAAAATCTGCTGTGACTGCTCCATGTATGACTAGAGGTTTCAGGTATCAGAATTTCACCAATAGATTTAGTGAAACCATGTGCTCTTTTTTTAATGCCCATTTTTCTCTTTAAAGTGTAGTTGTAAATGAGTATTGCTTTATTATGCATGTTTCCTTTAAAAGTGAACATGACTCCCTTTAGGGGAATTCAAGTAATTTGTTGCCACAGTAATCTTTTCTATCCTGAAATGTTAAATACTTGGCTTTCCTCCATGCCTTTGCCTCTCTCTAGTCTGCAACTGTCATTTTCTCCCTTCTTACTTTTATACGCAGCGTTCAGATGATTTTTCTTCTCCTCCAGTTCATGATTAGATTACAGCCAGGGCTGTCCCTCTGAGTCATCTCTTTATTTTCTCTCCTTCACGTCTTGTTCAATTTGTAAGCAGCCTGCATGTCTTCCATTCAGTATTTTACCTTTCTCTGTAATTGTTGCTTATTCTTTCTCTCTATTTGTTTGTAATATATTTTAATTAAAATATCTCTGTAATGGCTATAAGCAAGGATTTGTTTATAAACAAAGATCATGCCCAGACTTTTTTTCTTGTCACAGAATTGCATTGTTCTTGAAGTAATTACAATTAGGCACATGAGCTACATCAAAAGTTCGTTATTAAGGTCACAAAGCCAAGCACTTAAAAATTGACCTGTATAATACTTATGAATTGACCTGTATAATCCTAATTCAGCCTCTTTCACACAAGCAGTCTGCATTACACAGTAGCGTAGTCATTTGTACGTAGGGTTACTGGCCTCATTCAGTCCACAAGCTCTGTCTCTTCCAGGGAGGAATAAAAAAAAAAAAAATAAAAAAATACTTCCCCAGCCACAGCCCTACCCCTGTAAAGAGAGTACATAATTTAACGAACAAATTTAGGAATTACATTGTCCTATTTTACAGCAGCCATTTAGGATAAATGTGAGTTCTGCTTTAACGGCTTGTGTGTAACCAAAAATATCGGACACATTGCCTAACAGTGTCTCAAAATACCTTACTATGTATTGTTCAGGGTTAAAGCTGGGAAACGTACGCCACTGCTAGTGATCGTTCCATATTTTAAAGCCTTTCCAAGAACAGAGCATATTGAAACTGTCCTAGTTTCGGCAGGGATAGAGTTAATTTCCTTAAAAAACTTCCGTTTGTAGGACTGCTGCCTCAGCTTTTGCTGTGTTTGGTAGGTTTATTCCTTCTGGGAATCTTGGTGTAGATGGGCCTAATTCTGCATCTGCCCAGAGATAAATTTCTTTTCTGCTCAGCAGAAGTCAGGGAGGTGCAAGCCCGAAGTTCGTGTGAATGTGGAGCACAGCGAGGGAGGCAGCAGGCATGGTGCCAACCCAGAGGGATAAAATGTGGATCGCTGAGGGGCTGGCAGCATTGGCCGCCAAAGGGAAGAAAGGAGAAGGGTCAGTGTCCTGGGAGGATGGCCAAGTGGCAGCACACAGGGCGGCCTTGCCGCTGCAGCGCACTCCCACATCAGCTCTGTCGAGCTGCTGCCAGCCTCCCCTGGGGCCTTCCCCCAGCCCTGCCCCTGGGCCCAGGACCCCATTTCAGCCCAGCCTGCTGCCTTCAATCCCTGCTCGCAGCTGTGCCAGCCTCCAGCCCTGCTCTGCCCAGCCATGGGCCCTGCCAAGCCGGGGCCAGCCGCCGGCCTTTGTCCCATCCCAGCCCCAGCCCCAGGGAAGTCCCTGGGCTGGGGCTGCCCCCGGCCTGCCCCGCTCCCCAGCTGGGGTGGTGGAACAGGCCCTGGCAGGTCTCATAAATCCTGTGGATGCCAGATTAGAAAGCTACAGCGAATGAAGTGTGGGACAGCCCGGAGGAGAGACGGTCTCTGGAGCGAGGCGGTTTGCTTCTGTCCTGGCTCTGCAGGGCATTCATTTCTGTTCAGGCTGTGGTACTGAGGAAGACACATCTCAAGCTTTCACAGCTTGTCACAACTATGTCGTCTTTATTTTCCGGACACCCTGCCTGAGACCTGGGGCCTGAATTGCTAATTCCTGAGCTTTCCGAGCTGCAGCTTAAGGGACCAGGGGTTGTGCCCAGATATAGAAAGTTTTGCATAACACCAGGTACACTGACAGCCAGGTCCCAGGCATCCCAAATGGTCTCCTGGCAGGTCCAGGGAGGTTTTTGTTTCTCAGTCTCTTTGTGTCTGCATCTTGTTTCTGAGCGAGAGAAATTTTTTTTTCTTTTTCTTTTTTTTTTTTTTTTTTTTAATTCTTCTGGTACTGCATTAAGCCATTTGCAATGCTCAGCTGTTTGGTGTTAGTAAAGTAACTGTATGCTCCAGGGATGGACACTACAAAAAAAGTCTCGCATTCCATACAATTAGGCAGGCCAGAGACCACATGCTGGAGGGAATTTTAGATAGGCCTGTGCCACAGAGCCTGTACACAACGGGGGTCAATTCGTATCGTACAATGTCCTAACGCTGGGATTTCCTAGTTTATAAGTGTTCAGTTTTGCAATCTTAATATTTTTGCAGAGTTTTTGTGTATAATTTGCTTCTTGTTGTTGCTGTACTGTTTGTCCCCTTTGCATTCAGGTTCAGGAACTTTTTTTTAAGGTATTATGAGGTGTTAACAAGAGGGTCCTTGAAAACATGCGAGAGAGGTTTTCGGCGTCTGTGCCTCGTAATGTCATTTTTAAGATAAACTTTGAGAAATACCCAAAAGAGTAGTTTAGCAAAGACCCTGTAACCTGGGCTGGAGCATGCTCTGTGAGGCAGTCTGATCAGCAGTTAAAGCTGAGCTCTGAGGTGTTCAAGACAGGCTCACAGAGATCTGCATCTTTAATGATTTGGCTGTAAGAAGCCTTTAATGGTTGTGCAGAATGGCTATTTTAAAAGCTTAGTATCTTAGCCAAATTTTGGGTACAATTTTATGAAGAGTCCTAAAGTCAAAATCTTAAGCTGCAGGCAACTTGATGTCAAATCTGAAGTCATTGACACACAGCACAAGGATATCTGAAAATTTCCAAGGAAAGGTCAAAGCAATAGATTCTCTTTTAGTCTCATTCAAGAATGTCCAGCATAGAAGGTTTGAGCTGAAAAAATAGTTTTTAAAAAATTACAAGTAAATAAAATTAATATCTTGTAATGGGGAGGGCTTGGTTGTCAGTCCTGCTTCTAACTGCTTTATAGCATCTATAGTAAAATCTTGTAACAAATAGGAAAAAATAGGGAAAAAAATTGAACAAATAGAAGTTGGGAAGGGGGCAAGAACAGAATATCTTTGGACTTGTTTGCAATTTAGTAGAAGATTTCATGTTCAAGAGAGTATTTTATTATCTTTTCTTATTGTTGCAAATATATTTGTAATAAATTTTCAAAACATTACAGGCTTTTCAACTTTTTAAGTCCAAAACTCTAAGCAATTACACTTTAAGGTGCTTATCTGTTGGAAACCTTTGAACTTCCATGGCCATTACCAGTGACGGAGATTATGTCTGTGCCAAGAATGTTTAGGTGCCTTCCAGTTAATTTTTAACCATTTTGTACAGACAGAAGCATAGGTTAAAAAACCCAACAAAACACACCTTCGAGACTGGGTAAATCTTCAGATGGTAATCGGGGCTGAGATCTGGACTGTTTTTACTACACTGCAAGTGCCATCTAAGTTAATTGATTTGAAGCTAATTCAGATATGTCTATATAAGGGGCATCCATAGATCCATTGCAGCATAGACACACATTCAATCTGAATTGTTTTGTCAGGTCTTTTAAACTAGTAGAGGATATATATCTAAATTAGCAAGAATTCACCATTTCAATATTATTCAGATGTAAAATTAGAATGGTTCATATTTTATGTTTGCCAAAAATACTAGAAGTTAACTTTAAGTCCAGTAACTTTCTACGTAGTGATACAATTCTTGGGATGCCTGACGCCAACATCTCAGTCTAATCTCTGTTTGCTCTTTCTAGGTCTGCAGCCATATACTAATTACAGCTTCGTGCTTACTGCATGCACATCTGCTGGGTGTGCTTCTAGCCAACCACTTTCAGGTCAAACTTTACAAGCTGCTCCTCACGGTAAGGGAAAAAGACATTCTTATAGAACTGCAAAGAGATGGTCATATGGGCTTGTATTTTCTGACGGTTTAACAAGGTGTAAACCTCCACTATCATCCATCAATATATCATGTACAAATTTACACAAGAGAATCCATCTCTCTTAGAATATTTGTATCTTAACACACTCTTTATACTGACTGCCTGGCACTGCATTTCTGCTTTCTTTTTGTGACAATTTCCCCAAGTTCATCTTTAAGTTAACAAGGTTAGAATTAGCCAATGTGTATTTTTTAAAGCACAAATAAATATGCAGAGACAACTGGGCATATAAAGGCTGCAGCCTTTGGCCTTGTTCTCCATTGATCTGTACCTTGTCTAATTGGTTGCATTTGATATAGGATAAACATAGAAAGTGTGTTAAATTCTGTCATTCTCTCTGGCAATGTTTTATGCTTTCATTACATTGCTGAAAGCAACAGCACAAACTGTGGGAAAGGAAAAAAAAACCCAACCCTTATGTTTCTGTCAGAAAATTAAAATAGTGTCATTGTGATGTTAATAGGGGTATGGCCAAAACCTCATCATATCATAGTCAGCTCAACAGAAGTGGAAATCTACTGGAGTGAACCAAAGAAACCCAATGGACTCATTACTCAGTATCGATTATTTCGTGATGGAGAACAGATTTTCCTGGGTGGCAGTACAGACCTGAATTTCACAGATGTTAACTTGCAGCCTAACAGTAGGTAAGTCATGTTAAAGGGCTCTGGTACTATGTGAAAGGTGTTCAAAATATATGTACATGTGTTTGTGAAATGGCAAAATATAAGTTACTCTTTGAACAAAAGAAACATCTCTTACAATATTACTTAATTACTGAAAAATTGTAGAGCACTTCTAGGAGGCTTCCAAATGTTGGAAAGCCTTAATCAAAGGACTTCTGTTTTTTTCCTTTTCTGAGAATAGGTCATTCTGATTCAAAGAGGGGGAGGCTTTTTTTTTTCCTTTGGGTAGTTGTTGGTGGCTCATTGGTTGATTTTTCCCTCATGGAATATACTTAGAAAAATTTAAGTCTGTACGGCAGACAGCACTGCACATGGTTTATAATGTTTCTGTGTATATTGAACATACTGGCTCAAAAGTAGCAGCTGCTGATATTTTTATAGAGGCCATTCTGAAATTGGTTTTGACACTTTTTGAGTCAATACTTCTCTCTCTTATGTAAGCTAATGTGAATTTTAGTATTAAAATTATTATTATGATAAGTAAAGAGTTACTTTTGTAACATTAAGAAATTTAAAGGTGAAAATCTTCACTAGTGCTGTATTTGTGATACTCTTTGTATAGCCTATTCACTTTAAATTGATGAAAATGGAAATGTTCTATTACTGATATGCCTAAAGCTTCTAATCGTAGTGTCTACTGATCTTTTTGTGTTTGCGCAGATATGTTTACCAGCTGGAAGCCAGCACTTGGGGCGGCAGCAACACTAGTGATAAATATGTTATACAAACACCAGTGGGAACACCAGAGAAAATTCATGTCCCATATAATGTCACAGTAATTGATGCATATTCTATATTTCTAGCTTGGGACATGCCAGGTAAAAATGTATTTCTATGTAGTACTTTGTAGCAAAATGAAAGGATGGAAAAATTCGTATATTCAGGCAGGCAGCTGAATCATTCTGATATTTTTATTCTTCGTATTTAGTTTTAGTGTTTGTGTGATTTAAATAACCAGTATCTAAAGCTGCTCTTTCCTAGAGACATATTATTTTAATAATATTGACTTATATACTTGACATGGGTATTGTGAGGATTAGCTGGTCAAAAATCCATATGTTAATTTGATCTTGTAAACTATTATTGAGTACAAATATTAAGGAAAAAAACCCCAATTGGACTGAAAATAAGTTTTCCCCTCTGTTCAGACTAACCTGAGTTATTGACAGGGAAACCTGCCAACCTTTTGGGTTGATGATGTCTTGATAGCTATCCTGGCATTTAAACTGTCCAGTTGTCCTGCAGGTATGCTTTAACAAAAGGTGTAAGAGTGTGACACAGAGATCCTGTGCTAGCTTTGACCTGATGGAGTAAATTTTATTCGCCAGAGCACCACAGCGTTATGTGGACATGTTACCTTGCAGGAGGGTGGGTCAGCAAAGGCCCAGAAATATTTTTCCTCTTGTTACTCTTCTGAACATCACCAGGTTGTCTCGGCCTGCTACAGAGGTAGGCTAAGAAGGAATAATTGAATAATAGCATCTTTTTATATGAGAGACTGTGCTCTGTTTCATTAATATAGATCATAGCTTAAGTGATTGCTGTACTTTACTGATGTTATAAAAATGATATGCAGTAGTTATTGTGGGACAACGAGAGCACTGTAAATGAACAATTTTCTGTCTAGTGTAGTTCATCTCCAGCAAGGTGTTTTCCAGTTTCTAGATATTGTTTTTTTCAGCTAAAATGAGGTCCTTTTTTTTTAGAAACTTCAGATGTTTGCATATTGCAATAACAACAATATCTGTTTTATCAATGAACTCAGGGAAGTTTTTGATGTCTTCTCTTCCTAATTATTTAAGATGTTCTTTCCTTGCATAGCAGTCACAGTAGAGTCAATTGGCATTAAAAATAAAGTCACCTAGAAAAAGTATTTTGCCTTCAAGGCTGGGATTGCAAGTATTGTGGCAGTGCTTAGCAGCGTTCACCCTACCCATTTAAGCAATGATTAATAAATCTATAATACCCTGAGCTGTCAATCTTTTAGTTTTCAGAAGCACAAAATCCATTATAGAAATGCTATAATATATGAAAAAGATTAAAATCTTAAATTAAACTTTTCCCCCTACTGCCTGAAAGGATTTAGAACCCAGCAGAAGGCAGGTGAATTCGAATGGCATATAATCTACAGTTGGTTTTATTGGAAAGTGACTCATACTGTATTATAGTTTTGATAATAAATATAATTTAAGGTACAAAATATTCAGCAACCTTATAAATTGATTTAAAACATAAGAATATACTGGAATAGCGTAGGCTTGTGAAGAGTGGGGTGTTTCCCAGAAAAGCTTGTCCTTGTTGTTCTAGACCTTTTCTTTTCCAGCTACTCGAATTCCTGTTACTCGCAGTAGGTTACAAGCCTGCAAGGAGAATCAGGCTCTGTGTAGTACATTGGGTTATGTTGCAATTAAGATTGCGCAGGTTCATGTATTCCTGAAACCACGCGATCAGGGGTGAGGAGGAGGCTGGACATTATGGCTCTGTAGAGGATGCAGGGTTGATGTATTCCCATGGCTCTAGGAATCATTCTCCTCAGTCAGGGGAAGGCACACATCCTTCTTTCCAGGTATTGGGATACACCTTGAACACTTACCTCACTTTTGTGGATATTTGGTGACTCAGTCCCTTCCTCTCTGCTTTCTCATTGTGGGGCCAATTATTTAAGTTTTTAAGTATGAATTAAGGGATTGTTTTTCATACAATGCCCCTGTTGGGTAGACAGGAAAACAAAACTTGCTGTTCCTTTTATTATAGCACCTCAGGGCCACTAGCTGATCTCACAGGAATGGGGAGTACTAACAGCAGAGAAATGTTACTAAATGCTACTAATACTACTAAAAGAAACCCTGTGTGCAGAAGCATAGGTATATGCAGAAGCTAGGAAATTAATTCTTGACCCTTCATAATCCTGCTTCATGCTCATTCTGAGATGTTTGTGCTCCTAGTGTTTTTTTCCCAAGAGGAAGACTGCAGGGGATGCAGGTGGAGGTTTATTTTGGAGGTTCTGATCTTCTGGAATAACATACATCCCATGGACAGGTCCTATGCACGCAGACATCTGGGGCCACATACATCCCCAGCTTGGTAGGATTAGCCTAAAGAGTCTACCACTTTCTGTCCTTATTTATGTCATTGTGCATGGAGTAACTTTTTCTTTTCTGATCTATTTTTTTCTGTGTATGAATCCTTGTTTCACAATAGGCTGTACTGAGATAATATAGGTTTCCCTTATAAACCCAGAATGCAGAGTTTGTTATAAGGATTGTCAGGCTTGGCACTCACTCTTGGACGAGACAATTGTTTTAATTGGTATAGTCTCCATGAAAAAAAGTGCTTTTTATTAACTAAGTTTTGATGAGGGGGTAGTTGGTCATAGTGTCTTCCTGTCTGTGGATATCAGGGATGCTTTGGCATTCTATCTTCCTATCTGCTGTAATAAATTTGGATCAAATAATCACCCTCAGGATTAATTATGGGCATCGTATTACACAGACCTTCCTTTTGGATGGCTTTAATTATAATGTTCCGACATCTGTAATGTATCTAAATCTTATGACTTTATAGATATGTAGCATTTCAAAACTCATGACTTAGCTAAATAGCAAGGTGGCTGAGTAGTGGTTAAAGTGATGGATTCAGAAAAAATATTTGACACACCTCACTCACTATGGAAAATAGGACTTTATTTTCTGAAATAGGTATGCCATTATCTTGTGTACATCTTCAGTGCACAGACCTCAAACGTACCGTACATTTCACTGATACGCTACAGAAGGATATCTTACAATTGTTATGGAACAACTATTAGTGCCATGGATAGAAGCAGAAAAGCTGAATGGAAAAAAATACCCCACCACATAATTCTCTCAAGGCATATCCATAAATGTTATTGATAGGTAGGCAGGTAGCCATCCTGCATTTCAGCTCATTGACAACCCCACTGGTCCTCACTGGGGACCCGATTCTTCTAGATATCTTCAGCTGCTGCTAGTGATACCATGAAAGCTGAACATGCTCAGAAGAGGATCCTGTCCTCTGCTCCTAGGTTACTTGCTTCACATGTTAACGATCATCTGGATTAAAATGTCTTCTTTCATCATGTTGTAACACTCGACTTCATCCACCTCTGGGTTTGCTTATCAATTAGAATGAAAACTGTGTAACATGTCTGGATTCCTACTTTATTCTTCTTGGGATCAAATTTGGTATTTGAATGCCATTTATTTGTCTCTTAGCTTCCCCAGCTAACCTGGTTTCTCCTTTATTCGTGGCCTAACAAATTGTTCTGAGTTTTGCTAATCCAATGTTACATTTCCTCACTTTTGTTTTCTCATGTAAATTATTGTTTGCTCCACATCACTGTAGGACAAGCTTTTCAAGCTCAACGTCTAAAGTTCTGCATCTTGAAAGCAGTCAGCATCTCCAGCTGTTACTGTCTGCAGAGTCTTGTTGGGAATACGTGATACAACCAAAATGAGATATCTGGATATTTGAAGCTTAATGTAAATACTTAATCTCAGTAGGACAATAGGTTGTTTTATTTTGTGAAGTTAAACATTAAAATAGAACTTTACTCTTACTTGTTTTTAAATAAAAGATATGACATTCTTATTTTAGTATTTGTTTACTATAAGTGAAACAGTTCAACTATTTTGCTCTAATTGTGATCGGGTTTCACATCATATTAAACAATTTTTCAGCAATTGACTTCAAACCAATTTCTGGTGACCAGTCTGTAAAACAGACTGTGGCTTTTCTCCCCCAATTCTAAGCATCTTGTGCTGCAAATTCTATTTTTGAACTACCCTAGTTTTGAAGTACACAGAGCCGTCAAATCTAATTTGCAGAGTTTTGCACAGAATTGTCCATTAAATGTTATCCAAATATAACCACAAAAAAACAAGGTTTAGTTTGATTCTATGATTGACTTGTCCGATTGCAAAATGTGCACCTGCTGTGAAATGAAATCGCAGAGAAAAAAAGTGGAATAATTTAACTTTTTTTTTTTTTAAAGATAATCAGGGTTTTTCTGATTACATCTTAACTTCATAAATGTTAAATAACCTATCAGCATCTAGTTGTTGTAAATTATGAAAAAGAGTATTGCTGGGAATATTAACCAACTAAATCCTTGTTCTTTAGTGAACATGAAAATGTGTTATGGCAGGTTGTCATTGTGCTCATGGTAACTTTGACACCAAATAACAAAACTGCCATTTGCACTTAGGGTAAATTGGTTCACTTGTGCTTTTACGGTTCCTTTTATTCTGACATAAATTTATGAACTCTGGAACTAACCAAGTCGTGTGGTTTCCCAGCTGACTTGAACAAATATGCCCATTTCATTTCCTTCAGTCATCAGAGCACACAAGGTAGTAGTTTCAGACTGGCTGCAGATGCTGAAGGCTATTCTGGAGGAAAGGGGTTTTTTACAAGTTTCTCTGTTGCATGAGTATATATTTTTTATTTTTCAGATTATAAAGTGATCCTTTGATCTTAGCATTCGATGAATTTCATCAAATTGTAGAAGAATTTCCATTGGATATTGGAATTTTTCAGGACGTTTACTTAGCTTTATTTACAATTTCATGTTCACTTCTTGAGAATATTTTTTCTCCTGAGCATATTTATTATTGATATCATTCCTAATATATTGCAATGTTTAGCAGAATTTTAAGATTTTGGGTTTTGGTTGTTTGGGTTTTTTTAGCATTTCTGCTGAGATATGGACTGAATGTTGGACATGAATAGGTCAATTATCTTGAAATAAGTGTCCTTTGCTGCATATTGATGGCTGCATTCAGCTGCCCTAGTTTGTATTTAATCTTCCTTGGGAAATCAAGCATTCTGAATAGTTCCAATTTCAAAGGTTTCTGGTGAATTTTGCCTGGAATAAATGCATTGATCAGATGCACAAAAGTGAATTATGTGTCACTTTCATAGGATAGTGGGTCTTTCTGGCTGAAGTATCTGGTCTGTTGTCAGGACTGGAGAATAAGGGAACCTTAACTGCGAGATTGAAAAAAGGTTTCTATTTCATGTGCTGTCTACCATTTCAAGCTCTTACTTTCGGATCTTCTGTTGTGTCCTTTACAGGCACTCCAATTATAGGGAAAAAAAAAAGAAAAAAAAAGAAAAAAAGGTAGTTTAGCTGTAATAATATATCTTTAATTACTGGTATAATTATACACTGCACACTCAAGTGCACTATTCCAGAGCATTTCATCTTCCATATATCACAGACAAAAAATAGTTTTCTTTGTTGCAGAAGCCATCTACTTCAAGATCACCTTTAAAAGTGGTATTTCTATTATCCCATTCTTAATTATTAGATCTTGGTGTTTTCCTTGAAACTTTTACGCTGAAAAAGGAAAATTTTACAGTGGGATTTTTGCACTTTCTGTCTCCTTCTCCCTTCACCTCTTCCAGTGGCTAACATCAGCATCTTTTTTCTTCCTGTAAGCTGAGCAGTTGAATACGATTGAAGTCATGCCTCCACTACAGGGCTATTTTTTCAGCTTTTTAGTGTAATGGCATTTCCTTTGTCTAGCATCTAGTGAGGCAGCAGCATCTTATTTCTTTGGGATTTTTATGTCCTCCTTTTCTTCTGAGAATTGTAAAAACTTGGTATTTCAAAGATTTTTCTGATCTTCCAAAGTACATCAGTTGTTTATAGTACCAAAAAGAAACTTGAAATCTCTCTGATTTCTTGTAAACTTTTTTTTTTTTTTAGTTAATGTGCATATTCACACACATACTTAGCTGAAAAAATCCATCTAAAAGATGCACAATGGTGGAGAAAAAATGCTCTTTGTAGCTTCAGGGTAATAGTATCAATGTAGATACTTTATCAGAAAAGGACCAAAACTACAATTAGGAGAAAGAATGGAGATGTTTTCCAAAGTTATGAATGAAAGATTCTCAAGATCTGGACAAGTCTCAGAACTGCTCATAGGCATCTGGCTCTTGGTGCAATCACGGACATATCTCTGTGACATCTAAAGTAGGAGTTGTGTTGAAAGAGAAATGTGATTTTACTAATCAGATACATCTTGACTCATTTCAGAAAGGTACCTTGTCTACTTTGTACTTTGTTCTTTCTTAAGACTGTACCTTGCCTGCATGAAGGAAACACACTTAACAGACACTCTTCTTTGGTTAGTCTCTTGGTTTTATGAAATTGCTGCTGTCTGCATAGAACAGTCTACAGCAGACAAAAAATAAAAAGCCTATAGCCCATTTCCTAATTACAAAACCAAACCAAACCAAACAAAAAAAACCCCAAACAAACCTTGAGAAGTCATGTGGGAGGAAACAAGAGAAGATCCGGGAACCTCTGCCGATCATTCTGAGGGGATGGCATATGGCTTAGGTTGCTCTTGTAAAGAAACTGATTTTTTCAGCTTCTCAACAGAACTGGAAAATTAGGAATTGGCGGCATGGGAAGAGGAATAGATGGGGAAAATGTTTGAATTAAAAGAAAATAGTAAAAATTGAGGGTTTTTTCTTCAACAAAAACTAAACAGTTTGTTTTTGTATCAGTTGAAATGATATGTTTCTTGGTTCAAGCTAGTGTATTGTACTTTACTGGTAAAGCAGGCTAAGAACCAACAGTCCGCTACTGCTGCTGGGCTGAAAAGGGATAATTTGCTGAATGGTGGCAATTCACTTTTTTGATCATATGACTCCATATTCAAACAGCAGTGCTTAGTAGCTGTTGCCCCTCCAAAATAAAGAAATAAAGGCTGCCCGCTTCCCAGTCATAAGGTCACTCTTCCCAGAAGCAGCAATTGCAACACAGGCATTGACTGAATTTAATTTTGATTTTTAACTAAGAACTGTAATGTCTGTCTTCCAGTTGTGATCTGCAGATGGATCTGTTTCAGTTTATATTTCAATGGTTGTAGTTTCCAAAAGAGGCAGTAGGTAAAACCTCCAGAGGGGGCTTACATTTAAAATTGCATATGATGAATGCCTCTTTGAAGTTGTCCTGCACTGTTGTTAGTATTTCAGATAATCACTGGTTTTTCTCTGTTTCACAACAGGGATATTCATTGTCGATGTGCCTTTGGAATACAACATCTTACTAAATGCAAGCAGTCCCACTCTACTGGTGAAGCCAGTAGGACACGCACATTTTGCTTTTGTCGATGGCCTAGATCCCTACACCCGGTATGAAATAAGAATACAAGCATGCCAGAATGGTAAGATGATTTTAAAAGACTCATGTCTGTGACTGGAAGGGAACGGAGATTTTCCAGATAGATTCAACTCAGCAAAACAGATAAAATCTTATTCCTACATTAGAGTCAAATGTTTACCTAGTAAAAAGAAAGCCTAGCACTGAATGAACCATTAAACATTTCTCCATGTTATGTCATGAATATTTTAAATGGAGATTTAAAAAATGTATTTTAGGTAATATGTGCCATTTTATTAAAAGCTCTTCACAAATAGCTTAACAATTTTTGAAAATGTGCATACAGAACAAAATCAGTTCTGTAACTGTTCACCAAAGGGAAGTGGTAATCGTAAAGACAGGAGAGAAGAGCCCAAATATTACAAAATTCCTTGACTTTAATGGAAATTTTCAAAATCCTATTGAAATAAGTCTTTCTAAAATGGCACTTTGGAAACAATTCTCTCCTCACCTGCACTGGTGAAAATTGGGAGTAATTCATCAGTGGAGTTGTGGTTATTTAAATGAGTATTTAATAATGAATAAGGCACCATTTCATCAGGAGCTTCTTTACTTGACATTCATTTGCTTTTACCGCAGTTTTTGTTGAGGAAGAAGCTCTCATCACTAACGAAACTTCTGGTTTTGTAGGTGGGTGTGGAGTGGGTGGTCAAACATATTCAAGAACTGCTGAAGCACCTCCTAGAGAATTGAGCCCACCTATCATTAAAGCAATGGGAACTGCACTCATAGAAGTGAAATGGGCACCACCTAAGAAACCAAATGGCATCATTACTAACTACTTTATTCACAGGTAAATGCTTTTATCACCTCAGATTCTTAGTCTTATTGAACTGTTCATTTCTTTATTCCTTGATATACTAAGAGGTGAAGAAAAGTGTAGAAGTATATGGTAAAATATATATTACCTGTCAAATGCTAAGGTAAGATGCTGATCTATGGATGGACAAGTTGAGAATAAGAGCTGAGACAAGAATCATCTTCCTGATCTACAAATGACAAAAAGCAGGTGAAAAATATACTTTTAAAAATTCAAAGGGACAGACAAAAATTGTAAGATAGATACTCTCACTGTGTTTACCCAGACCACTAGGTACATTCTTCAGTCCTCTCTGATAGACAGTTGAGAATTTTGGAATGGAAACAGGAGTAATTCACCATTTCTCAGATTTTTAAAAGCAATAAAAGGTATCTAGGTTCCTAACACAGATCAATTTTCCAAGATAAATTATGTTCCTGTTTGTAAGTAAGTAATCTGGAGTGTGATTACAGTGCATCTATTTATGTTCCTTGGTCTTTGTAGTCAGCTGCCCTGTCTGGGTGGTTGACTGACACATCCTCACTCCCTATGAGGAGCTTCATAAGCTCTGTGTGAGGATTTTTCTATATAGATAGCTGTGTTTAGGGAAGTATCAAAGTAGCAGAGCACTGACGTCTGCTATGCCCATTGACCCTTTTTTAAAAGCTCACTGAAGGGACCTTCTTGAATAGCTTCAGAAAGTCAGAGAATATAAAACTCAAGCCATGTATTGGAAAGGAATTCAAACTCTGAAGTTCCTGGTTTTCCCAACTCTAAATATGTGTGGCAAACACATGCTGGGCTGAACCTAGCCTCCCACAAAGAGTTTGGGACTTTTTATTATATTAGAGCTGTGACTGAGAAGACAGGGAATCGAATTACCTTTTGGAATCAGCAGTGATAATTAATATAAATTCACTTTTGCCTTAAACACATTAGTGGTCTCTAAAAATTCCTGCTTTCTTGAAATATCCTTTTGTTTGCTTTTTTTTAATTGTCTGATCAAAAAAACCAGGTCCCTCCCCTGTATGAAGAGGAATAAAGTGTATGTTACAGCCCAAGACGTGTCTTCACTCTGTTGGTTTTGTAAATAAAGCTGATGATTACTGTTGCTATTCCATGGCAGCCATAGAAAGGGAAAACAGGAAATATAATGCAGAAAGCCTGCTTCAGTGAAAAATACTGTAAATTGAATTTGACAGCATTTGATGGCATTTGATTATTCTAGTCACAGCCAAACAATGATATAAAGAGTAATATGAAACAGAATGTGTTACTGCCTAGCAGACTCAAAAGCAATAAACCTTCCTCCAATGTGACACAATCACTTCACAATCATAATTGTAGCCTGTTTGATACCTCTGAGTACAGCAGAAGGGCACTGACTGACATAGATACATTTTGTTTTTTATTTAAAGTGAAATGAAAATGGCGCACTGGGGCTCCAGATACAATCGTTATATTCACCTACATAGGCATGAATCACTTGGCAGTTATTTCAGCTGAAGTTTAAATGTGCTTAGACAACAACAATATCAAATCTTTCTCAGATAGCTGCAAAAAAATCAGAAATGGGATGTAAGTACATAGTTCTTTTTCATTTTGTAGCCACACATAGCCTTACATTGTTATAGCAGCAAGACTGCAGTATTTCTATGGGAGGTTATGGCATGTAATTTCTTCTTCATCATGTGCCTCTTCCTTACTGCATCACCACCAAAATAAATTCATTTAACTCAAAACCGGGAATGCTTGGGGAGCTAGCGTGTGTGCAGATCTTTGCATTAAAATGGCAGGACTCGTGCTTTCCTCTAGAATCATAAAAGCACTTGCAAGTTTGCAGCCATTTTGTTAGAAACAAAAAAATGAAAATGTTAGTTTATGATAAAAGAGATGGTGACATTTTATTTTTGATTCGTGTAGCAGTTTTAAACACAGATCTGAGGCTTTTAAACTTTTCTAGCAAGGACCACAACTTAGAAGAGATTGTGAATGAGAAAAGATCTGGTTCATGAGACAATCACCCAATCTACTTCTCTTCCCATTCATCATTACATAACATCCCTGTGACAACCAGAGAAATTGCTAGTCTGGAAAAATAATATTATGGAAATAGGTGATGTATTTCTTGCTGTATTTTAATAAGATATAGGTCACATCAGCTAATGGAACTGCTCTCTGTTGACCACCAGCATGCACTGTGTAGGATGCACATGAGATGACTTTTAAAGAAATATTGCCTGTAAAATTATAAGTATTTTTGTTTATATCTTGCTCAAGGGAGTGTCTGAATTTCTGTCAAAGTGTCTATGTCATGTTCAGTAAGATTGTATTATTTAGTATACATATGTGAGATTGTAACGTAGCTCTCATTAGCTGAGCAATCCTGATGGTGAAAATGGAGCAGAAAAATCAACAGGCAATTTAAGACAGAGAACGTGTCTCAGTGGCTGTTGACTGTTGTGACTTGCAGTGTAGAGGCTTCTAGACTGATTAATTCAATGCTTACCCTTATACCCTTAACCATGAGCTGCACCAAAGACAGCTTCCAAGGCACATATATTAGTAGATGGTTTAATATAAGAATCCTTATGGGTGGATATGTCATTGAGTATAAGAACTCCTGAAGGGTTTTATTTATACCTGTAATTAATATAATACCTAATCTAAACTAGCATATTACATGCAATAATCGCAAATTCCTTTTGTTCACTTTTTGACATCAAAATTTGTAAAAAAAAACCCAAAAAAGAAAAGAAAAATATACCAACTACATTAGTATAGATTTGTTGAATCCAAATGGTGAGTGAGGCTGCTTTGTTTAATTGGATGTGAAACTGTCGAGGGAAGCATTGTTGATGTTGCATTATTCCCCCACATTTGACAGTGTGATTCCCCAATCATTTGAATTTTACCCCAGGCCTTCTCACTGTTCCTAGAAATAACTCACTACCACTGGTAAGGAAAACAGCAGGCAATGCTAAAACATGTACTTTTGTTGCATGGTGAAAGGTAAACACATGAAGAATAATTCTGGGTTGATCTGCAAGACCTCAGGGATTCACTGAGTCTCCTTCCACATAAGAAAGCTGAGGGGTGAGTGGTGCGGTTAGTGTTGCTGCAGTCTTCTGCATACAGCTCTATAGTTATCTGTCACAAAGAAGATTATATTCTCCCCTTTATGTCATCTGGCTCAGATTGGCAGTGGGGCAGGGAGAATTTGCCCTTATAAAAATAACTCTATCTGAGAATCTTTAAAATGAATGTAGGCAGCAAATCAGACTATGCAGATTAAGACACAGCTTCCAGCTCTTGGAAATGTTATTCTCCTTTGCAGCTCATTGTACATAAGAAACACTTCCAGTTAAATGAGCAGTTGAATCTTAAATCTTAAGACGATTGAAATGATTACAGACTGTTCAACCACTTCTGTTCAAAGTTTATTCATACATGAAGATATTCTGGTTTTTAGCACTACAGATGGAACCATTTACCTAACCATAAGTTTCATTCATTAAATATTCAGCAGTAATAAGATCTAAATACTAAACCAGACTACATTGTACAGCTTCGCTTGTGGATGAGCTTACAGTTGGTGGCATATTTGATCTTTCAGTTTGAAAAAACTGTTTATCACAGAGTTTTGAAAATCTATAAAACATAAAATTGTGTATTCATTTAAGTGCCATACTGCTCGGTCAGACAAGACATATTAAATGTGACTTTATTGCACTAAAATATGCTCTCTTTTCACTTATCTACAGAGATTTTTTTAGGCATGTTTTTGAGTACACAGGGAAAAGGTATATTTTTAGGTGCAGGAGAAAGGCATAGCAGTGATTCACCTTTCAGAATTAATGTCATTTGCATTAAGTCAGTGAACAGCATCTAAGGGAATGTTCTGCATAAGGCTTAATTTGTCATTACAATAGAGCATGGGGAAGTGTATTAAAAATAGCTGATGGAATTTTGGGGTCAATGGGAAATTTTGTACCCCGACTCTTCCAGACATTTTGTTGCAAGAGAGAGAATTGCTAGGGAATCTTTCCTGCCTGTTCTACCTGCCATTCTTCACCCAGTTCTGCCAACCAATTCTCAGTATCAACACATCTTATAACTTGCCTATTTCACTACACTATAGAATCACAGAATTGTTTGGGTGGGTAAAGACCTTTAAGATCATGAAGTCCAACCGTTAACCTAGCACTGCCAAGTCCACCACTAAACCATGTCCCTAAGCACCACATCTCCACGTCTATTAAATACCTCCAGGGATGGGGACTCAACCACTTCCCTGGGCAGCCTGTTCCAATGCTTGACAACCCTTTCAGTGAAGAAATTTTTCCTCACGTCCAATCTAAACTTCCCCTGGCGCAACTTGAGGCAGTTTCCTCCCGTCCTATCACTTGTTACTTGGGAGAAGAGACCGACACCCACCTCGCTACAACCTCCTTTCAGGTAGTCGTAGAGAGCGATGAGGTCTCCCCTCAGCCTCCTTTTCTCCAGGCTAAACAACCCCAGTTCCCTCAGCCGCTCCTCATCAGACTTGTTCTCCAGACCCCTCACCAGCCTCGTTGCCCTTCTCTGGACACGCTCCAACACCTCAATGTCCTTCTTGTAATGACATTGTAGAGACATTGTACCTCAAAACTCTTCTTTTTTTTAAAATCACGCTTTAACCCTTTTAAACTAAACAGTGTTCACATAGCTTGCTTATCTCAGAGTTTAGCAAAAATTCTTTCGCTTCACATAAGAAAATAATGTATTCATGCATGCCTCATGTAAGCATATACACAAAGGTCAAATAAACAGCTGTGTACACACATCTATTCATTATATTCTTCATATTTGCATGTAAATACCTGGGTATATATTATTACAAGCAGCTAAGATTATCAGTTTTAAAAAATTGTTGCATTTTGTATTTTTAAAGTAATTCCTGGAGTTGATCTAACAAAATAAAATCCGACAGAATTCTATGAAATACAGATTTTCTCTTGCCAAAGAAATGTTCTTCAGCTTCTGTGTGTGTGTAGTGATGATGACACCCAGTAGTCAGACAAACCAATTTTATTTCTGCAAATTTGCCCTACTTGCAATAAAAGTGGCAGATAATGTAATTTGTTTTTTGCTGTTGGCATGGAGGGTGAAGGTGCTTTTATGTTCTGCAAAGGCCAAGGTTCCTGTGAAGATGTGGTGGGTGGACCCTGGCTGGATGCCAGGTCCCCACAAAAGCCGCTCTATCACTCCCCTCCTCAGCTGGACAGGGGAGAGAAAATACAGCAAAAGGCTCATGGGTTGAGATAAGGACAGGGAGAGAGCACTCACCAATTACTGTCACGGGCAAACCAGACTCAACTCGGGAAAATTAATTTATTACCAATCAAATCAGAG